TTGCTTACGCTGATCTTGAATTCACAATTCCTGTATCTCTACCCCAGTATCAAGGATTACAGGTATGCATCACTATATCTGGCTCCTCCATTCCCTTAATGGCTAGTGAAATTAAGCATCTTTTCATGCATTTCTATGCCTTCTTTTTTATTTTTAACTATATTTTTTGTCTTTTCTTTTTTGGTACTGGGGATTGATCCCAGGACATTGTACTTGCTAGGCAAGCGCTTTGCCACTGAGCGACATCCCAGCCCTGTGTTCTTTGAACTTATATCTATATAAATCCGTTATCTTTTTATATATTGAATGTATATTGAATATTAAACTTTAGTTATATATATGATTTTCGGATAGTTTTTCCCAGTTAGTAGGTTCCCTTTAATACATAAAAGTTTTTACACATCATTCTGGAGACTTGGAAATTTTATGTAATAGATTATGGAAACAGCGTTTTAGCTTCTCCAGTGTATACTTATTTTCTACTAGTAAATTTTATAGCATTGCCTAGAAAAAAATTTTTATAGCCATGAATTTCTGAATGCACAATGAGTTACTTTATTATAACTTGTATTAGAAAATGATAAAGCATTTTAAAATTCATATTTTAAAAAATAAAATTCATATTTTAAAATTGTGTTACTAAACTTCAAAGATGAATTCAAATAGGTTGTTCAACTACTCAGCATCGATGAAACGAAAACCTCTCTGAAGAATTTCCTCATAGAAGACTTATTTATTATTTGAGGTTCTGCTTTTTTCCTGATACATTGGTAAACATTTGAAGAAGGAAACAGTATCTAGTATCAATCATGTTCTGGTGGCAGTATTCAAAATACTATTTTTGTGATAGATACTTTTTCTGAAAGGAACATGTGACAGGTTTCTTCCTAAGTAATTACTTAATGAGCTTAATGTTTACATGAGTCTATTTTTTTATTTTTTGGGTTTCTCTTTGGCAGTAGAGGGGTTGAAGTCAGTACCTTGCACTTGCTAAGCAGGTGTCTTAACACCGAAGTCACATCTCAAAGCCCATGTCTTTTATTTTTTACTGTGTTATTGGTCTCTTTTTCAATTTTAGATATGAATATCGTGTAGAGATGGTTCATCAATCCTGCAATGATCCTACCAAAAATATCATTAGAGAATTTGCATCGGACTTTGAAGTTGGAGAGTGTTGGGGCTATAATAGATTTTTCCGTTTGGATTTATTGGCAAATGAAGGATACTTGAATCGACAAAATGATACAGTGATTTTGAGGTAACAGGGACTATTTGTCATGTAAGAATGAAGTCATCAAATCTTTGTTTCAAAATCTACCTCTGTAACAATGCATATTGAAATTCATGCTAGTTATAATCATACAAATTTCTTAACTGTTTTATTTCTTGTATGTAGTTCTGTATAGTCAAGTGGATAATAAAATGTGTTGGACATCTAGTTATTAATTCCATTATATGGAATCTGTTAAAAGGTAAGTATTGTCCAGGCCCAGAGTTCAAGTTCCATGACTTTCCCCCCACCACAAAAAAAAAGGTGTGCCTAATTTCAAAACAGAAACATTCCAAACTCTTGGTGTGTGAAAACAATGCTAGAGTGGCAAATTGCAAGTCTGTCTTCATTTGAGCAGGTGGTCACAGTGCAGCCAAACTAAGAATATTGCATGAAATTACCTTCAGCTTGTATGTATCAAATGTGCCAGATTCACATGTAGGAAATCTAAGAATAGTGGGTAAACAAATGTTATTTGTTTTACTTGACAGCATTTTGGTGACTTATTTTGTGAACATAATTTTATAGAATGACTTAGTTTTTAGATAACAGATCAAGTGTAGAGAAACAGATGAAAACAATATGAAATACTTAGGTTATTTACAAGAAGG